AAAAAAAAAAAAAAAAAGTGAGTTTTAAAATTTAAAAGATTTTTTTGTATGAAGGACATCTACTTGTGTGGGTAGAAGCAAAAAACCTAGGTCTTCATCCTCAAATAGCGGAAAACCAATTGACATGGCCTAAAACAACAAAAAAAAGTGGTAAGTTGCTAGCAAAATAAGAATATTACTTAGAAATATGGAGATAAATAACAAAAATCAGTCAAAACTTGAAAATGGTCGCCTCCAGAGAAAAAGAAATGGCAGGGAGGCGTGGAGGGGAGGGAATGACTATTTCTCTTAATAAACTTTATAGAACTGACTCTTCAATCTGCATTCTTACTGAACTTTGACAAAAACAATTTTTAAAGCCTAGAAATAAATGTCAAAAAATTAGGAAGCCATACCATGCAAACACCAAAAAGGGGAAAAAAAAAAAAAAAAAAAAAAAAAAAAAGCTGGCATTAACAGCCTAATAAATAAATAAAGCCTAATAAAGACATTACACAATAAAAAAATATCCAGCAAGGCAGCTATATTTTGAAGGCTTTATTTTAACAATCATAAAAACTTGTTTGCAAGTAGTAACATAGGCTTCAAAATGCATAAAGACAAATCTGACAGAATTACAAGAAAATGACAAAACCACAACAACATCCTTAATAAACTGATAAACCAAAGTGACAGAATTCTGGTCAAGATACAGAAAACTTGGGAACAAGTACAATTTAACAGACAGACCCTATACCTCCAAATTAAAGAATACAAAGGAAATGTTTACAAATGCTGAACACGTACGAGATCTAAGGGAAAGTCTCAAAAAAAAAAATCCATCAGGGCGCCTGGGTGCTACAGTCAGTTAAGCATCCAACTAAGGCTCAGGTCATGATCTCATGGTTCAGGAATTCCAGCCCCACTTTGGGATACGCACTCTCTCTCCCTCTCTCTCAGCCCCTTGCTCACTCACGCTCTCTCAAAATAAGTAAATACATACATACATATTTTAAAAATCCATAAAAAGCAAATCATCTTTGAAAATAATGTAATTAAATTAGAAATTAACAATAAAAGCTCAGGGGCAAACACCTATATGTTCGGAAAATGTTTTAATTCGTTTATAACTAACTCATAAATTACAAGAAAACCATAACGCAAGTAATAAAATATCTAGAACTGAATGACAATGTAAGAACTCTATGTTGAAACTTCTGGAAGGCACTGAAGTAACACTTAGAGGTAAACCTTATTAAGCTACGCCTCTATTAAAACACAAGAAAGAGGGGCACGTGAATGGCTCAGTCAGTTAAGCGTCCAAATTCGGCTTAGGTCATGATCTCACAGTCCATGAGTTCAAGCCTCACATCGGGCTCTGTGCTGACAGCTCAGAGCCTGGAGCCTGCTTCAGATCTGTGTCTCCCTGTCTCTGCTCCTCCCCTGCTTGTGCCCTGTCTCTCTCTCTCTAAATAAATAAGCAAAACCAAACCAAACCAAAACAAAACTAAAACATAAGACTGTAAAACACTGAGTTAAACAACCAGCTTAAGAACTTAAGAACGACAGCGTGAACTCAAAGAAAGTAGGAAATAATAAGGGTGCCCGCGGGGCTCAGTAGGTAAAGCCTCCGACTCTCGATTTGGGCTCAGGTCACGATCCCACAGCTTGTGGGCCTGAGCCCCCTGTCAAGCTCTGCACTGGCAGCGCGGAGTCTGCCTGGGATTCTCTCTCCCTCTCTGCCCCTCCCTGGCTCTCATGCACTCTCTCTAAATAAATAAACATGAAAAAAAAAGAAAGAAAGAAAGAAAGAAACCAATTC